GATGGATGTTTGTGATCTCAGTTATTAAATGCAATGTCACTCAGAATGATGAGTTAAAACCATAAATTTTTGTATCATGGCTTAAAAACATTCACTTCAAAAATGTTAGTGGTTGAATAGCGTGGCCTGTTTTTTTTTCTTGGCAGAGTAAAGTTTATCTTACATATAAAAACATGGCAAATGGCAAATATTAAATATGGGTTCACATATAGATTCAGAGTCATTTTTTTGCAATGGTACACAAAGTTTAGTAGGGACTACAACTTTTTGTGACTATAAAAAATTTTGCTTACTTTTGAAATATTAAAATATTTGCTAAACTTAAAATATTTGAAAATTGTTTGATAAAAAATTTCCATACACTTCACTAAATGTTTACAGGTATGGAACTATATGGTTAACCATTTTTATGTCTGGAGGTCAACCCGGGGGGTCATTTTTATGTTTTACATGATGACAATTGCTTGAAAACGAAACAAACGCTTGCCAGTAAGAATACAATAGGCTTGACACAAACCAGAGTACTAGTTTTCGAGTTTTAGCGTTGAAACGCAATTTTTGTTTTGGGGTGTTCGAAACTAGAAGAAGGAGTCTTGGGTATGATAAAGCTATCAATTGATTGTACACAACGTTTCAATTTTTTTATCCGAGTTTGCGTTCAAAGAACAGACATGAGGCGTTTGTCTCAACAAAAAGCTTGGTCAAAACAATAAAATTAAAGTGCGCAAAAAAGATTTTAGACTATCACTCTGAGACTAGTAGTCTGGTCTGTATTAAGCCTATTATGTTTTTACGGGCAAGCGTTCGACTTTTTTCCAGCGGTTAAAAAATTTTATAATTGTGGATTGCAACCTGGTTGACCACTGTACATGAAAAGCGTTTATTATACGTATTATACGTTTCCAAACAAAAAAAAATGCTCAACAAACTGTTCTAGACATGTAAATTTTATCATACTAGTTTCATTAACGGAAACTTTCAGATAAGTTTTCTTTACATGGCTACAAAATTCTCCAAAAACAATAAATTTCAAAATTGGGCAGAGCAGTATCTGTTTTTAGTTGCAAAATCACTTCTCTCGAACAGACTTTTTCAAGAAAACATGCAAAGTTTGTTTTTTATGTCTATAATGAAGTCCCGACTAAATTTAGAATGGAACCAAAAAGACTGTGAAATTTTGTCTGAACCCCGTTTCATTATTCATGTTTTTATTTTACTCTTTCAAAGAAAACAGGCCACGCTTTGCAATCACACTGCTCTTTTAATTGAATATTTTCGAGCCACATAAGAAGAACAAGGGGTTTGACTTTTAACTCTGAGTGACGTTTTATGTAAGAACCTAGACGGCAAGTCCCTATCTGCAATTTATCTGCTAAGTTATAATGCCACATAATTAGTGGGTTTTTTGTTTTGAAAATCCTTTTGCTATTGTGTTTTCGATTCGAACAGAAATTTATAGGGCAAAATACTTTGATCTACACAAAAAATTGCAATCAAACAGTTTTTTTTGTATGGGAAAACCTCAGTCCTGTTGCTTTTCGAAAATTAGAAACCAATTATTTTTTACTTTTCTTACAAACGCAAGCTCTTAGATTTGCAAGTGCTGTAACTGGAGGTATTTTTTGATGTTACAAATATTGATTAATCAAAGTAGAAAAAAAATACAGAAAACATCATACAAAAGATTGATTGAGAGCAAATACCCACAAAACTGCAGTCCCAGAAAAAATACTCAGCAAAAATAAACATGCTTAGCCCCAACAAAAAAACATCACAATGATGATGGCAAGAATTTTTTAAATGTTTCCTTCAAGAAAGAAAGTAGAACCAAAGTGTTTGACAAAGTTAATTTGTATCACCACTATAATCTTACTATTTGGTTGTTTAAAGGTTCAGTTTTTCACATGATGTTTTGTATATTCAACTTTTCACTATTCTTTGTGTGTATATTGAACAAATGTCAATTGATTAGACATTAGTGTGATTTTTTTTACTTAGTCATCATTTTGACTCACAAAAAATGCAATAATTTTTCGAAATATTGTTTTGGAATTTTAACCGCCACTTGGGCAGTTTAGATTTAATGTTTTGCTTTGAAAAGCAGACATAAAAAAGCATCGAATACACAATCCTTTTGGAACCTTTTTGGAAAGACAATGACTTTTTAGAGCACCTGCAAAACGAGACTTTGAACTGATAAAAAAATTTAATAAGATTTGATTTTTGTACATTTAAAAAATCAACTCAAGATTAATGTGCAACATCCCTATTAGTGGTAAGGTGGAAAACGTAAATTAAACGGCAGAAAACTTAAACGACAGAAACCCTAAGTGAAACGGCAGAAAGTTTCAAAAACAATTTAGTCAGTAAGTTGAATACTTTTGTTGTAAATGTTTATTACATCTTGTTTCTTTTTTACTTTTAATTTTTTGTTCTTTTATGACACTCGATTTAAAAAGTATTATAAATTTTAGGCAAACGAAACGGATTAACATGGATAGAGAAGTACTGGTGACCCAATACGCTGGCAGAAATTAGGTGGAGTAATCAACTAGTAGTTCAACCATCATTCTTAACGAGGACTACAGTCAGAAAATCAGATGGAAATGGTTCAAAATTTAGGATAGAAACACCCTCCAAATATTAGTATATGGGAAAAATTGCTCAATCGTTTTACACTATCATTTATATCTAAATGGCCATTTGTTTTCATTGATGTGTTTTTTAAATTGTTCTCTGAACTTTTAAGAAGATCAAGAAGATCTATGATACAAGGTGAGACTTATAGCGCTCTCTCAAAAGATTAAAAATCAAGACTAATTATCTGACCGAGCCCATATTTCTGTTAGTACAAGCCAGTAAGCCAAGACCAAAAAGAGACAACTAAACCGCCAATAAAAAAATTTAAAAACATCTTTGTGCAGTAATTATGTTTCAGCTTAATCTCCAACAAAAGATCTAGTGAATACAAAAAAATGAATTTTTTTCGCCAAAAACTTTCGAACAACTAGTTTAAATTTTTTTAGTCTTATTGTCTTTCAAAATTAACAATTTGAAGCCAACAATTAAACGAAAAAAAATTCAATTGATTGTTTTCTCTTTCGATATTTGTCTCAAAATCTTTTATAGCTTCAACTTGAGTTTAAATTTCTAATTGATAGCTCAGATACACTGTTGCGCTTTGCATGCAATGGAAAAAAAGCGCTCCATCAAGATCCGATATATGATTGAAAAAAATATATCGACTTTCAAAATTGAGAACTAAAATTGCGTTCAAACAACTATAGCGTTAAGACATACTACCAATACATTTTTTCTCTATTCAAATCGTATTTGTTCAACACAATGTACCTCTTGCATTAAAGTAGTGGTGATCTCGAGATGTAACACTTTTCAGCCTTTAATAACGAACCGGTTGTTCTGCTAGTCATTTAAATTCTCGCTATCAAAATTCACCTAAAATGAAGAAACACTCAGAAAAGATTTTCAAAACGGGACATTGCACGGAAGCGAATTTACCGGCAAGATCATTACTAGCAGATTTAGGCACTCTTTCTTCGATACTTTTTTATGTCACGTCTTTTGACCAAACAACGCAAAATATGTTCAAAGCCTGCTTACATCATGGCATTTTAAGAATTTTGAAAATGTTGCCAACAGTGGCGTAGTGTGCCAATTGATCAAATTCTTAAAACAATTTCAGTAATGCAAAATTGATTTAACAATCAAGCCAAAAAATCTTTTTACAGAACCATAGCAAACGGTATTCGTAAAGCAGTATTTGAAATGAATAGCATACGCAAAACTGCTGTTGAGAAAGTTTAATGAAGTTTCATCTGAATTATAATCGGTTCAATTTCCTTGCCGCTTTTCAGGCCAGTATCAAACATTATTTTAGCTCTTCATCTAGGATTGACACCAATAAAAAAGTTACCAAATTGAGTAAGATTACATGTTGCATTAAATTTATAATCAGAAAAATTATCTTCTCTTCAACAACTTTTAAGTTTAAGGCTTATTCAACTTGAGCAGTTAAAGCAGTTCTTTCTATAGAGCCACAGCTGTTGCAGTTACGATAACTGTTCGAAGTGAGCATTTCTACGTTGTTTTCCAAAAAAACGCTTTTTATCTCCCTGAACTTTCGTTTCTAGCCCATGAAATGATCGAACCCCCCAGAATGTCTATTTCGCTAAATTTGGTTTTTCGGGTTTCCAAGGGCTCCAAATAAATTTTACATATTGTGCTCCTGGCAAAGTTTAGGCTTTTCTGTACTGCGATTTTTGTTGCTCGTTACCAAACTGGAATAAACTTCAATCGTAAATTTTAAGTTCAAATAGCGCAATCTTATTTTTTTTTCCTGTGGTTATTTTTCTGCACACTACCAAGAGAAACAACGAGCAAAATAAAGCTGGAACTTCTCAAACCAATTTCTCTAACAACAACCGGCATGCAAGTGTAGCTGGCTGTTATGGCTTATATTGTTTAACACCTTGAAGCAGAAACCTTGAGCTCGAAATAGAATACAAGTTCCACTAGTTTGAATACTCGTTAGCCTTGCAGATTTTACAGAGACCGCATGCATTTTATTTTAATCTATCACGCTATTTTCGACAGAGCAACGGAGCGGAGCTTCTCACCATTTGTGATACATCACAGACAGCATGGCAAGATAACCGACTGAAAATAAGACGAAAGCCTGTAAAACAAAAAATAGAAGAAACAACTAAAGCTAGCAAAAATTTTGTGCTTCGGGAGCTGAAAATTAATATTGTCCGCTGAGTTACAGATTCGTAATTTTTTTGAAACTTAGCGACAAACGTCTAAATTAGCCTAAAAACAAATTAACGAATGGATTCTGTTAGACAATTTGTTAACCTGAAAAAAGTTCTTATTTGATAACACTTGCAGATTGCAAGGGCAATTCGTTTTATGAGCTGACGAAACATACTGAAGGAAAGAACACTGGCTCCCGAATTATCAAACAGCAAAACGACGCCATATATAAATAAATATATATTATTTTTTTCACTTTAAAATAATTCAATTGTAATTCAGTTTATTCGTATAGATGTTCAAATCCATTTTTTGATAGTTTCTGCTTTTCTTTTCATGGCCAGCACAACAGATGATTTTCACTTTGGAATACTCGCTTCCCTGACAAGTGTATTGGAATCATCGTTCAGTTCTCAGCCTCTTCGTACTCACTGTCGGTACTGCTTTCAGAAGGCGGGTACAGAATTTCCCTGTCAGCTTCAAATTCCGTTTTAAGTGTCTCCATGTGCCTGCAAGATAACAGTCTGACATCCATGGAGGTATCAAAGAGTTTTTGGAGGTTGGGGGCGAAAATTTTGCTCTTTTTAGGTTGACCAAATTCTCAATACCTTTTTAAGATCGGATTTTTGCAAAACATTTTCTTTAAAGCTGTCAAATTAAAAAAACATGGCCGAAAATGACAATTTTAGAGATTTCAGGTTTAGACAAAAGAATTCTGACAAAAATGTATTCGTAAAATAGTACAAAAGGGGAACCTTTGGTTGTCAAGGGGACCTCCTAATGCCTGAGAAGACTTACTCCGCCTGTGCTGCAACAACATCAGTGCTTGTTTTACATTCTTTATACTTCTCCAATAATTCACTGTTCAGACTTGTAAACGAATCTCCCCATTTGAACTTGCTCAAAATCGTGTTAGCATCTTGTTGATGACCAGTTACTATCAAACATGCTGCTAGAGCCTCGACACATGATAAAGTGCATGGTTTCCCGTAGTTAACAGGGTTAGCTGCTACTAGATAGGGTAACAGTCTAGGATGTGATCCTTTCATCAGATGGAAGGGTGTCTCTTCTAGCCTGGCCCAGGAACAATCAACAACTGCAATGCCTTTCTTTGCCACTATTGCTGCATCGGAAGCACTGAAATATGTATATCGTTTCATCTAGCACTTTCCCTCCACCAGAGTTAGCTGTTCCCAATTTGAATCAACTATTACATAGCCATGCCATGCCATCCTAAAACTTTAAACTAATGGGAAATAAAGGTTAACATCAACCAGGAGCGGAAACCTCAATTTGGAACAAACTAGACCAATAGTGGAATCGCATAATATATTAGACCGATTACTCCAATACAGAAACTAAAAAAAACTTCGAAATATTAAACTAATTTTGCCTGTATCAATGGTTGAATCAGCTTGAATACGATTACATAAGAACTCAACAAGATGACATAAGAATTCAAGTTTCTATAACAGTGTCTTGGAAGAAAGTGTCTGTATAAATCGAATAGATAACCTCAAATAGCATACCAACAAACCTAATAGCTTGAGATGCGTTTGGAGATAGAATGATTCCATTGAACCTCTGCTTCAGCTTCAGACATTTAACCAGACCACATCTAGCCAACTTCCTACCCGAACATCTCTTTGGATCACAGTGACCCAGATCCCACATGGCCAAAGTGACACCTGTGCTCGCTATGAAATCACAAGAAGAGTCATCATTACTGGCTTCTTCATCGTCTTCTTCATCTGCGCTGAGTCTGTGATCAAGTGGTTCCTGTTTAGGCGTACGCCATTTCTGCTTCCGTTTGCTGTTTATACTTCGCGGAATGTCATCGTCAAAGTCAGTCATAAGAAATCTGAAACGCATTGTAAGCCAAAACCATTTTTAACAGAAGCGAATTTTGATACAGGGGAAATAATTATTCCAGATAAACTGCAACAGTATCAAAAACTGACTAGCGGACCCACAACGGCTAAATCTAAATCGGCATCTAAAAAATACCATCAACGTATTTTAGAAAATAAGGCTCCTCAAGGATTTGTACAGAAGGATTTGTAAGAACCTGCATATCTAGAATTAGACGATTCAGCCTAAATGTATAAGAGAAAACTGTAAGGATTTTCTAGCATCACAGAAAACAAAAAAGAGAGCCCTAAAATTGAAAATTGAAATTGGAAACTAAGATTTCAAGACGTATCAAATTTTTTCAACGTAAATTTCTCAAAAACTTTTATGGTAGCCTCATCTTTTCAGCTTAAAAAGCTAACCTATAACGTTGTGGTAAAGTAACAGGTAACGTGATGAAAAAAGGACACGCCAAAACAGTACAGAAAAATATGCTTTATGAAAACACCGAAACTTTTTGGCACCAACATCCGCAACTCAAAAACAAATTCTTTTTAGTCTGCTCTCAAAATTTCGTCCAGTAGTCTTTTTAGACATAATAAAAAAATCATTGTCAACAAATGAAGTTTCCCAACATTTTCAATTGTCTAGGTTTTAACAATATTGAACTTACCAAACGTTTCAAAAATTTCTATAGCTTGGAACTGGAAGCACTTATTGGCACTTCGATAAAATGATCTAGCAACAAATAGCTGAACGAAATATTCCGATGTATTTTTGTCATTTCTAAGAAATACTTATTATAGATGCGTCGATATTCCCAAATTAAAAAATGAGGCACCCATAATTTGTGTCGAAAACAAAAATCTATGACAGCGCTCCAGTAATGCACATCATTATCAATATAAAAACACAATTAGCAACCGAAATCGTTTAAAAATTTATCTTTATCATGAATTGGAAAAAACCTAAATCTTAACAATTCTTTAGCCTCATTATCTCTATCTTTCACTGGAAGCTATGTGAAAACAAACCAAAAATTGTCCGTCCAAGAACTTTTGATACATTGTCTATATTTTGGAAGTGCTGACTTTTTTTTAAATATGTCGCAAACTTACAGCTCTAGAAATCTCATACTTCCACTCTCCAGGTAAGCTCGCCTTTAAAATCAGAATTCTAATAACAAGAATTGATGTTCAACCAAACTGAAATAATAGCTCAAAAGGCAAATTTCAAACAAAGGCAACGCGGCAAACAGAAATTTTAAAAAATGGCAAACGTGAGCTTTTTAATGCAAGAAAATACAGAAATTGTAAATAAGTTTGGGAAAAAACTTCCGACACCTCTTCAGGATTTCAACATCCGATGACCAGATTTAGAGTCAACCGTCATCACAACGCGGCACTGCTGCCACCTGACCTCTTCAAACTTTAGTCACCAATAAACTAGAGGCCAGCCAGAGCGGGAAATACATGTTTGATAATTTTTGAATCTTTTGTACTGATGCAGAAGGAAAACGTTAATTTAAAAAACTGGGCTTCACCCAAAACCTTAGTTGGTTCTCTTATAAAATAATTAGAATTGAATTTTTCTGAGTTCGATTTGGCAGGATAACCTTCGAGAAAATCAAGAAATTTCAAAAAACGGTCAAAAATCAAAAATTGTTTTTTTTCCGAGGGGGCCATTACTTTTTGTGGAATAACATCTGAGCTTAGTCGCATATGCAAGGGAGCTTCAAACAAAAGAAATTATGACAATATATTTTTGCCGCCCAGTAAAAGAAAACCTCAAAAAAATCAGATACGACATCTGCAGGATAGGTTACTGATTAATTAAGGTCACTCACAAAACTCAAGATCTTAATATTTTCAAATTTCATTATCAGATATTGAATGCCAAACACTTTGTTCTTCGTTTTTTTTTAGTAACAAGAATTGTTTAAATTACGTTTTCTTTTTTGCAAAATTTTCAAAACTTTTTTTTATAATCTTAATAGTGATTGGAGTTTCGTAACTAATCAGTCACTGATTTTGGGGTGAGGCGTACTAGTTCCTCTGCGAGGTCCTTTGGTAGTTTCCATTGACGCGCGGAATTCCACGAAAAAGGTTCGCTGAGCAAAAATTGGTCGAAGCGTGACACGAATGAGGGCTGAATATACCGACTGAACCGCTTACGCAGGGGAACTTCCCACAACCCGTTCTAACCATTAATACAAAATCTCAGACTTGGGAGGGTAGTTTTCGATAAAACTCAAAAAGTTTCAAAAAATGGTCAAAAATCTAAAATTAGACTTTTCCGAGGGTAATAACTTTTTGTGTGAAAAAATTTAGGCGTAAACGCTTATGCAGCGGAGCTTCACACAACCAGTTTTACTCTTTGAGCCAAAAATCTCAGATTTGAAGGGGTAGTTATTGAGAAGTCAAAAAATTCAAAAAACGGTCCCAAAAAAGGCTGTAGAAAGTGGAGTAAGTGCTAAAAAGATATTATTAGAGGAGTATGCAGGCAGACACACAGGGGAAAGGGTGGATTTCCCATTGCGTCCCAAAATTTTTCCAAGGCGTCTAAAAAAAAATAAAAAACCCGACCCCATACATTTTCGTAATACCTTTTTTTATCAAACAGGAATGGGATATAACTCCTGGTATTACAGTGCCGATTCTTAAATGCTATGGAGCAAAAGCGCTATTAAAGAAAACTAATTTATTCGAGTTAGGGTGGAAAAATATACACACTCGTTTGCTAATGCAAAAAAAAAATCCTTTTAAATTGTTATAGGTACCAATATCTCAAAATGAAACGATTTACGAACCTATCATTTACAGAGAAACTCGCAAAATGAAACATTTTTTCGTAGCAGAAGGCAACATTAGGAAACACAATTAACAACAATTTTGGAACAATTTAAAAATTTTTGAAATATCAGTTTCAGATTTTCAGTTCTATCTTGCAACTCCTTTTTATGAATTTGTAATATAAAACTGTTAAAAAAATCTTGTACAAAACATTTTAAATTTCATCAAACTTCTGGAAAGTTTTGACAGTACAGCCGTTATGAGGTGAGATGAGTCCAAATCCAAAAACCAGGTCAAACTTTTATCGCTTTTTTGCAGTTAGTCAGATGCATCAATTGAACAATAACTATCTCACTTAGCAAAAGCAAACCAAGAGGCTAAACATAAAATACAAATGCATCGTTGGTGAAGCGCCTGAGCTTGCCTTTTACCCAAAAGGAAATTAGATCCACATTTCTGATCATTAAGAAACTAACACAGAACTCCTTTCATAGGAAACTGTTACATTGTCAAGAAAGACTGAGAAAAGAGCCAGGACTTCTCTTTGCAAAAACCAAAGATATTTCGTACAAATCCACTCGCATACTCTCCACTTCCAATGGATCCCCAGAATATGTAGATCGTCCATAAGACATAAAAATATTCAAGCTCTTTTGCCCACAAGATTTCACACGATTGATACACCACATACTACCTGACGAAATATCGCAGACGAAATAATGAATTCCACATATATCCTACTCATTACGGATATTCATTGCCTCAGAGACTCTTTCCCTATTCGCCAATGACATCACGAACCATAAAACAAATTACAAAGACGAAGAAAACCTTCAGAGACGCGATCCTCTTTCTGCAAAGCCCAAATGCTTCTGGCCGACACAAATATGCTAAAGCCTGCTTAACAGACGACACCAACGGCCTAATTAAAGAAGGCGACCTCACTCGACGCAATGACCCGACCCACCCCAACATTACAACCCTCAACACCAGAATTAGCATAATTCACAGCGTAGCAAAGATGCAACTTGACACGAGTTCGCGAACTCCAGCATCCACCAGAAACAAGGTAAATAAATAGTGGCGACTAGTTTACATCTTGAACGCAAATTGCTTAAAAACTCAAACCACAAAGTACTTTTCAACTTCAAAGTCCTTACCACGCCGTCCTCAGTTGCAAACAAGTTAAGCGTCCGACTCACTCGCTTAAACACAAACTTCGAAATGGAACCAAAAGGTTATGAGAAAAATTGAACGTCTCTCCTTAACCAATGCGCCCCAGTTTTGAACTGAAGAAGTAGAGACGCGCGTAAAAGATGCGCCTCCCCCTCCAGCTTTTGGCCAATATGGATTAACCATACCTCATTTAAAAAATCTAAAGAAACTGGCTAAGTCTACCATACTTGTCAAACACAGAAAAAAATCCCACTCTCTCCAACTCCTACCGCCTTCTCTTCTTATCTAGTGCCAATATCAAAAAAGTGATCATCTTCACCGAACAATGAAAACACTGTCAAGGCTTTCCTCCACCGGAACTACAGCGAGAGTCCGAATTTTACCCAAAATTTACTCAATTTCCCATGGTTTCAACCACTACTAAATACCATGTATGTTCTTTTAGCCTTAATTCTCTCAAAATCTTTCACAGCAAGAACCACTGTACTCTCATAGAAAATCTGACTAGTTCTGGCCCAATCAGCTGCTGGCTAGACAAATACCTCAGCGGTAAACAATCCAGAACCTTTTTCAGTCATCTCTCTAAAGAGAAAACAAATAACAGTGGAAACCCTCAAAAGTCTGTTCTAGCCCCCACAATTACTGTCATCGATTCGCCTCCTGAAGCTGGAAACAAGCCCATTATATTTTATGCTCACGATTCCAATGTCTGCACGCAAGACACTAATATCAGATCTCTACTTCTGAATCCACCTCACTATCCACCTACCTACACTATATATACTTTTTTATACTTCCTTCAACAACCTCAGATAGGAACACCCTCTCTCCGAATGTTCAGAAACCCTCTTGTCTGAATAAAAGTATTTTAAAACGCACACCCAGTTAACAACCAGAATATTCTGCTAGGCTTCGAACAAGGCACCAAAATTCTAGAAATTAAGTTAGACTTTCCTTAAGTATTCTTTACATTCAAAAACTAAACAACTTTAGAAAAAGCAACGAATCCAATGATATGCTAGCTGTCACATGAACCATCCAGTAGATAAATATTTGAAACAACCGACCCTCCCAGACATAATAAACACTCTTTTAAGTCATCATACGGACCATCTAACTGGTTTAGTCGACTCCAACGAGTACAGTGATAAAGGAATTAAAACTCGAAACCACTTAGTACACAACATAAAAGCATTTTACAACTTAATTTAATTCTCCCCATTTCCGATTTACTCACTAAATCCACCCTTTATCTCCCAACAAAACTCCGAAAGGCCCAATTCATCTTGGCTCAATTACGCTCCCACTATTCACCCATACTCCAAAAAAAACTCCAACCGAAGTTCAACACCCAACACGATACCAATAACCTCTTTAAATTACTCAAAATCCTACTACATTCAATCTCATACTATGGTCCAATCCAGACGAGGCGCCTACCTTTCTCAGATTAGACCACTGGTCAAGCCCATCAGTTCAGCTCACTCCTAGTGGCCAGTGTCGACTCAGCGCCGATTATAGCCTCGCTTATGAACAATACACCCGTCCCTCGCTTCAGTGTCCACTAATACTGAAGAAACGATATTCTGTCGAGCAAACGTTATTCATACCATACCGAAACAACGCTATTAAAACAAATCCCACTGACGATAATCTGACGAGGAAACAACGTTTATACCAAAGAAAAGCTATTGAAACAAATATTTTACTTCGACAGTTGTTCATTTACCGAAACGGGCATCGCTACCAGAATCACTGGATGGCTCAGTTACCGGAATCGGGCCCCCTTGTACCCAGATGCACCCTGGGAGGACGAAAATCTTAACCCTTCCAGACGACACCGATAAAAAGATAATAAAACTTTGCACCTTGACAAGGCAACTACAACAACAGCGAATGCAATATTCATCAGAAGATCGGAGCAAAAAACAGCGGTCAATGTCAGGGGTCAATACATTCAGCTTTTTAGATTATACATGTCAGTTTTGAAGCAGAAAAACAGTCGAAAAAACCTAATTTAATTCATTTGAGCACATTTAGCTAGCTTTCTGGTTTTTTCAACAGACTAGTGCTTCCGCAAATAATTTCTATAGATTAATAATCACAGTCCAAACTAAAATGAATCAAATATCTCGAAGGTAATAACAATCTAATGAAAGCGCCGTTGTTCTAACCCAAAAGGCAATAGATACTAACTTCAGATATCATTGTTTTAAGCTACTATCTTACAAAACAATAACAAAGGAATCAATTGAATTCCGAAAAATTGTCATGCGATTGATTTATAAACGAACAATTCTTCAAAAAATATTGCGAGATATCTTCAAATGTACGCTGTCCTTTCCTTAAATCACAATAGCCTGTAGTTTTTACTGTCATATTATGCTACAGTAAGCAATGATCATTCATAAATAGATAATTTTAATTCATATCTCACAAAATTATCAGACGATGCGTTTATTCAAGAGCTTTCCCATTTTACTTTCCTATCGTTATCACTTCAATTCTATTTCGAATCTATAATTACAAAATATGAAATGCAAACTTAAATTGTCTTTTTTATTATTTACTTCGCTCAGTTGGTTGTTGATTTAATGCAAATGGCGCTTTAATTGAGAATTCAGATCGGATCTCGTGCTCTGCTTAGTTTCATTTAATGTCTGGGGGGATCGTTTACGCTTCTATTCGAGTCTTGAAACGAAGCTTTATAGCATCGCTTCAGGGCTAATTTAACAACCACTCTCTTCTTCAATGAGACTCTAAGTGGGAAAAATTGATAAATACGACCGCTGAATCGAAATTTCACAATTCCTCTCTGTTGTCATTGAGATATTTTCAAATATCCCTGCCCTTTCCTTTGCTATCTTGAAAACAAACAGTGATCTAGCGGAAAAACCGGAGCACATGTTTGCTAAGTGCCAACAGTATGTTCGAAGCAAAAAAATCCCATTATTCACTTAGAGCAACCTAGAGTATCTGTTAAAATTTCTCTTTGCAAACTTATGTACTGAGTTGACGGGAAAAAATGGCGCCAATAAATTGACACAAAACCTCCAGTTTAGACACGGTTGCTGAGCCCAACATTGAATGAAATGACGCCTCACTGACATTAGTGGACAACACCCGAGGCACTTCAAGACGAACACGTGACTCCGTATGTCTCCAAGCAGGGACTCATTTCATTAGAACCAATAAATTTTGATTTCATTTTTATTTACTTTTACCGGCAAGTACGTAGAGAACAAAATTAGCAAATACCTGAAAATTGTGCAAAATAAATAACACTTATGTTAATTATTAACACGCATTGATTTTTCAAGCTGCTTTGTATTACGGAGTTCCAAGTGAAGAAGATAGAAAGGCTGCTGATATTGATTTTCTTACAAAATAGAATCTGAAAATTTAGATGCCCAGGAAGAAAAACAAAGAATTCTCAACTGAATAGACAGGTGACGCAAAACACAAAAACACCAAATGGCAGATCCATTGTCACTAATATTTACCAAGAACGCACCATTTTATATTATACTATCCGAAAGTAGTTAACATCTTATCCACAACTAAAATGGCCGATTTATCTTTTAAAAAATACTCAAGTATACTAGCATTTATTTTGCTCAATCGAGAAGGATGAAGTTGACGTTATATTGAAACAGCTTTCTATTTGGCAACAAAAATGAATTCAGCTATATTCCTGAAAGTCAATATACAATTTTTCTTACTTGGATTATCAAATTGTGGGTTTGGCGCGTTTCAACACGGAAGCCAAATGCAAAACAGTGACGAGAATATTCTCATACCAGAAATAGTTAGAAGAGATGAAAACTTCATTCGGGTTCAAACGTCCATGCCTCCAAGGATCAAAGACAAGCCTCTTTATTTGTTCACAACTGTGGCAATTGAGAGTATCTCTGAAATCACCAACAACTTCGCCGTGTTTGAAATCTACTTAACGGAGACTTGGCGAGATCCAATGTTTAATGATGGCGAGCCTATATCTATGTCTGGTCCTGGAATTAACTACTTTGATTGGATCCCGGACACTTATTTTCTACTTAGTAAGAAAATAATTACTCAAAGCAAAACAGCTTAAAAGGGAACGAAAAAATTCTGACTCGAAACTTGTTAGCCCCAGCTCGAGTTGTAGATTCGCGGTGAGAACCGACATCAATCAATTGTTGGACATTGTTAGGGATGATTGAATATACATAACAGAAAATTTGTAAGCTAAGTAGATACAAGCAAAGCTTTGACGATGAAAAAATAATGAATTGTGACCTGCGATGAGAGCACGGTTGATTTCTGGGCCAAAAGGTCAGTTCGAAATATCTGATATATTTTAACGCCTGCAATTCTCTTTTAGGCAAGAAGACGAAGTACTACAGCAGCACTCAGGCCATTCACTTCAACGGAGTCAACGTGACTCTAGACCGCAAAGTGCGCATCACTGGATCATGCACTACTCACGTGTGGTTCTTCCCTTTCGACGCTATGCGCTGCAAAGTGATTTACTCCAGCTACGGATTCGGAAACGAAGACATGGTTCTTAATTGGAGCAAAAACGCATTCCACTTTCCCTTTTCGTTCCAAGCGGTTAGTGAACTTGGATTCAACGTTGCGAAAATATCCAGCACTGATTATTTGGCCGAATACGCTTCGATCAATTACTGCATTCTCGAAGGCTCATTATACCTCAAACGCATTTGGAGCATATATATAATTCAGAGCTACTTGCCGGCTACGTTTTTAGTTTTACTATCTACCACAATTTTCTGGCTGAATGAACGAGTTTCGGGACTTCCTGCTAGAGCATCAGTCGGTATAACTTCAGTTCTCGCGATGTTGACAATTTGCCGCGGTAGAACAAGTCCCAAAGACAACGTGTCCCGTAATTTTTCGCTAATGGATACCTACTTATGGGTAAGTTTCATCTTCGTGAGTCTATCCATGCTTTTCTTCGCTCTCGGAGACTTTGTGCGAATAAAGGAGGGCAAAAGTGCAAGGAAACTGAACAACAGCAACGTGGACAAAGCTATGAGAGGGATGTTCCCCTTCTGCTTCATAACCTTTGTCAGTCTCTACTGGACTTATGTGTATAAATTTGTTTTGCAATCAATATAAATTAAAAGCTGAAACTGCCTAACTTTCCCATTACTTTTATATGGGCTTGCAAAGAATTGTAATTTGTTTTTTACATTATTGAAATGCTGTCAGTCTATATTTGAATGATATATCATATAAAAGTCCTTTCAGTCGTGATTCGAACAACATTAAAACATTTCGGTCGAAAAGCCAGTTTGAAATTTTTTATTTTTAGTCTAATTTCGAGCAAATGAAGCGAACGATGAGGCTTATAATAAGATGATAAGTGATAAACTCAGCAGAGAACAATTAGTTTTACTGCAAAAATAACTTTCGAAATTTCTCTTCGCGCCTTCTTGGGAATAAATAATTTTCTGCAAGAAAAGTTTTTGTTCCGACTATTGAAAATGGGGAGGAAATTTGTATTCGGGTGTGTTTTAAATTTGCTTATTTAAAACACACTTATTTGACCCTATTTTTAGTTTTACTCGAGTAATGTTGGTTTTTGGAGGCTTTTAACGTCACTTTGGAAATCAAAAACTTCAAAAATTCAAAAAAAAAATCCGCAAAAAATTTCAATTTTTTTGAAAAAGTTCTGAAAATTTCTTTATTTTAGAATATGATCGAAACATTGTGCTACTTGCACAGTAACCAGCTATCATTGTTTTAAATTGTTTTTCATTTCATTTATGAAAACAGCTGTGAAATAAACCGAATTTACTATTACTATCGAATATGCCTAAGTTCTAGGCTTTCGTTCACAGCCTCTCATGGCACCAAAGTACAAAAACAACTAAGATTTGAAAAAAAAAAAACGTACTTTTTCAAGTTTTTTGTTCGAACCGTTTAAAAAAGGGGGAGGATCTTTGTATTCGGGTTTGTTTTCGTTTTTTTATTTTCCACGCAAAAATCAGTTACCACAAATTATCATCGGAAGGTGTTCGAGTGATATATTATATTACAGCCCTTTCAGTCGTGGTTCGAATGACATTTAAAAATCTTGAAAAACCTGTTTGAAACTTTCAACTTTTAGTCTATTTTTGAGCAAATAAAACGAGTGAGCAAGCTTATTTATGGTTTTTGTGCCTAAACTCAAACTTACTTAAGTAAATCTAGTTTTTGGATGTCTCTAACGCCATTTTGGATATCAAAAACTACAAAAATTCGTAAAAAATGACTAAAAAAATTTTGTTTTAGTCATTTGCTTTACCACAAGTGTGGTCCAATTGGCTTGTTTTACTAACCTGTCGATATTTCCTAAGCTCTAGTTTTTCGTTCAGATCTTTTTATCACACTACGCAGAAAAAACGACACTAATTTGAAAAACCTTTTTTGTTGTTTTTTTCTAGACTTTGGTCGGGACATTCTGTGTTACTGCAAATTTCTACAAAAACTGTTTTCACATTGGCCTACTTTACTATGACTGCAAAAAATGACTGTCGAATATACGTAATACATTTTTTGTTCGGATCTTTTTAAAAAGTCTATATTCCGGTTTTACCACACAACGCAGAAACAACGACACTAAGTTGAATTTTTTGTTTCGTATCTTTCAAGACTATGATCGGAAAATTCAGTGCTACTTACAGAGCAACCGGCTATTCTGGTTTATTATTGTAGTCGCACAGTTATCGACTATCATTGATCTTATTTAGACTCCGTTTTAGAGCCCAGAACAAACTTACGTTTGGGTTATTTTAGCAACAACATGAGATTGAAACATTTACAGTCAAAGCACTATCGAGTTCAAACAGCACTTGTCGTGTTCTCGCTTCGCAAACAGTAGCGAGAACACGACAAAAGGCAGCTCTATAAAGATCAATGAGAAAATGTAGAAATCGATTTGATCTGCGACCTAGAAATTTTGATTCTCACGCACAAACAACTCAAACTCAGCCACGGAAGCTTAGTAAATCATAAACACAAGCCACAAATAAACCAGAGAACAGATGCTATTAGTTTTCCCATGTTAGATCGTAATTATAGCAAAAAAAGCCACAAAATAAGTGAACACTTTCCACTTTCAATGAACACTTTTATTTGCGAGTTAGGTTAGAGAAAAAAGAAGGCTCGTACTAAATCCAGTAGCTGCTGGCTAGTGTAAACAAGCAGGAGGTTATCTAAAATAAACATGTTTGCTGGCAAAAACGTATATGGTTTTTAGGAGTATCAAAACAATGAACAATACCTTTTGTCCAGCACTTGGTTATAAAAAAAACTAAAAATGGAGTAGGGGTCTTCTCTTAATTTGACCAGATTAAAAAACAAAGTTTCGATTTTAGATATTCAATTTAAGTTTAAAATCAATTTTTAGATGACTTAAGAACGGGGCTCAAAGTTGTACGTATAGACAACAGGCGCACATGTTATTCCCTGGACACTGTGATTTAAGTTGATCTGGTCATTCGACGATACTTTGAATTTCCTCAAGATCTCAATCATGAACACTTTCAATTCCAGGTCAGCCAGTATCTGTCCTAAGCAGACCCGAGGTCCAATGCCATATGGTATGAAAGCCTCGTTAGTTTCAAGCTCTCCGTCATTATTCAGGAAGTTCTCAGGGTTAAACTCATAAGGGTACTTGAAGTACTTTGGATCATGCATAGGATGATAGAGACTAGGCCATACAACAACATCTTTCTTCACAATTTGGCCTGATTCTAGCTTCACATCTTCGACCATTCTGTGCGGCAGCGTATTTTGTGCAATACATCCGAATCTTTGAACTTCAAACTGCACGGCTGTCACATACGTCATATCTCTTAGGCTCTGGATTGTTAGCTTTGAGTCTCCAATAAAACTTTGGACCTCGTTCACAATTTTAGTTTGCACCTCGGGGTTCGCTGTCAAACATGCAAGCACCCAAGCCAAACTAGTCGACGTTGTTTCTGTTCCTGCAAAGAAGAGTTCGAATATGACATTGATCAGATTGTCGATGTCATTTCCCCATTCTGCTTTGCCTAGCTCCACGGCATACGCATCTATTAAGGTTTCAGCAGGTACTTGAATCCCTGCTTTCATCCTTTCTTGAATTCTCTCCTTTATGAACGCTTTTGTTGATTCTACAGCTCTAATTCTGCTCTTAGCAGTCTTGGAGATTGATCGGAATATCGCGAATAGGAAGTTCGGCATTAAATTAAGTTTATTGTTGATTTTTAGAATGGACTGAAAAATCTTTTCAGCCTCTGGATCGAAGTACTCGAACCGAGAGCCAAAAATCAGAGATGCAATGACGTTACAAACTGCAGATTGAAGCAGAACTGTCGGGTCGCAATTCTCGCCCACTGATTCCAAAGCATCCGTGAGGTGATTGGCTTCATCCAGAACCAAGTTTAACTGTCTTTCTCTACCGAAGATTCTTAAGTGATTAAGAAAGATCCTTCTGTTGTTTTTCCAAACCGGTCCCGAAGAGTCGATTATTCCTTTTGGCGCCGAGTGAACTTTCAAACCGAAATTACGACCAATAGACTGCTGACCATGTACATTAAATAACTCTTTCAGTTCTTCGAGGCCAAATAAAATGAGTCGATGGTTGCCTCCGAGCCAAGCTCGCATATATGCTATTCGATAATTCGTGGACTCATTCAATTTAGTGAACATTTTACCATGTCCATGATTGTTGTTGTAAAATTTCATATGACCCCATAACCAGTTACGTTGTGGCAGATCATGGAAGCTGTCCTTGTTTTTATGGCGAAACCAGAGATAACTCGCAAGGACAGCAGCACCAACGGAAACAGAAATAAGAGGCTTGAAACTCTTTGAAGTTTGAAAAACGTCGACGTATTCCGATAAATTAGCACTCAAGGAATCAAGAGAGGGCCAATTTATTCCAAAATTCTGATAGTCCATTATCAGTTCTTAACTCGTTCAAGTAATAGTCCAAATGAATCACAGGTGTTCATTGGTTTTGATCGAACTTTCAACCTTTTGTTTTATGTTAAGTATGGACCAGCAAATATTTACCTGATTGGATGACAGGCTCATTAGAGCGCCGAAATGTTTGAAGCACGCCGAAACTTGAACAAGAAACTAAATAATCTGACTGGCAACAGTGTTGACTTTAAGTACATATTCAACTGGTGCAGGACATCAAGCCGAAGAGACTTCAAGCCAAGTCGTAAAATTAAGGACTTCAAATGGAAATTTTCATAAAATCTGTGCCTTATCAATTAGGAATTTAAAAAATTAAAACATTGTTAAAAGGGTTTTCCATATTTTTAATATATGCATTTCAAAATCCGGTTGATGTAACAAACGGATGCCATTCTTTAGTGGTGCATTGTCATGAAAAAGGATTATAGTGCACTAAAGTTGCATAAATTTTAAACAACTAACTTTTTAGGAATAAAAAACATTAGCGTGTTGAAGTGCTTACATTGAAATTTCGGTCTGAAGTTCCGTCGGCCTGTTCTCCTAGACATATTCAACTAACTAGGATGCTGATTACACAGTTCACAAGTTACCATTTATGGTGGACTACTTTGTCTGGAATTAGGTTGCTAGGCCCACACAAGGTTATAGACAAATTTAAAATGGTTAATATATATGAGCTAGTCGCGAAATAAATCCTAACGCTAAACAGAATTTTACAGAATTTGGGACTACTCCAGCGGGCAAAAAAAGGCCCCGCGTGGTTTTAACTGATAAGACGTTAAGTTGCTTAAAAATTTTCAAAAAACTGTCATTTCAGTTAAAATTAACTAAGGGTCATTTTTCGACATCCCTATTTCGCTTTTGATTTTTTCTATTCATTTTTTTAATCTAAACTATTTCACTATTTTACTCCAAAAGCCACATGAAGGCACAATAAAACACTGAATTTTTGGGGTTTCAAAAAGACAAGGAACGCTTCCCTGGTCTCTGTTGAAAAAAATTTTCCATGATGCTGAGAAATTACTAAAATATTTTCAGAAAAATGAGAAACTATCATTTAGATAAGCAGAAATGGAGTCCGTCTTTACAGTAGAATCAAACAATCTATGAGATACTTAAAACTAAGTAGAATGGATAATGTACACTATGATGGGGGATAGACACTTTGATCTGAACATAGAAGGAAAAGCCCAAGATGAAGATCAAAAAATTAGGCAGCGGAAGTTCAAGGTTTGATGAAAACACACTGGTTCAGGAAAGAAGACGCTCTCGATCGGGACTCATGGCGCCCCGTCGACCTCAATAGACTCGGAAAAGATAGCAGTAAATGATGATGATCGAGGGAGCGGGGTGTTGTTGTCATCAATGGATGTAACATTCGCCCAAATACTACACAGCGACGGAGCGTAGAAAAAGTACCTATTAACGACTGGCAGGCGTCAGTTACCTTAATCCTACTCGTTTTTCACCGTCTCGACCTTGCCAGTTGATTTTCTGGTCTGTTTAGGGCAAAGTAAAAAGTTACCATTTTTAGGCCATCAGTCAAACGACTTTTGATCAGCTTTCGTTTACATGCGAACACAACCACATAGCTGAGTCTCGGATCCTCAGACTACATGATTGTCATTAAAAACACGGCTCAAACAACCTATTTTAATATGTTTTTGTGTGGAGATGGATTGACCCTTTCCTTTTTCTAGCTACTCATGCTCTGAAATATTAAATAATAACGGTGTTAATTAAGATCTATGACATTGTAGCAGCTATACAGTCAGTCTATACAGTCCCTTCACATAGACAGTCTCTGGGGGACCAAGCCTCCGCTCCCGTAATATTCTTGAGATAACACTCTTATCTCTTATTTTTCGTGTCCCGGGAGGGTCCCGTGGTATATTTCTTCCCCCACTGAAGCCTCCTTCTCCACAAATTTCCGTCGCTAAGGTTCTTATCGTGTGTTATTGCCACGATAAGAGGCTTCGTAATTCTCCTGTCTCTGGTACGACTGTTCTTCACAATATATGGCGTCGTTGTGTTTTCTCTTCTTTTTTAGTCAAAATGGCCGACTTTTTCTATTTCTCAGAAATGTTCACTCTTCAATCGAAATTTTGAAAAATAAAATTCTAGAACATTCTGACCCTCCTTCGCAACACTTTTTCGTTCATAAGGCCTTTAGCCGTCCTTTTTTTACGTCGCCGGAAGGTTGTGCTGTGTCATCTGGCAGAATGGCACATACTCCCCGGAAAAGTCTCCATCAATGTCCCTATTGATCGCATAAGACCGGGTTATCGTCAAGTAGTTATCCAGTTTTCTGTAATCAATCTTACAAATTGCATAAGAAAATGAAATTTATCTACTCCACCTCAACTCACTACGTGTTCACAAATGGCATCGTACTACATCTCACTGCCTTCCAACATTTTCACAAAATTTGCACCATGAGGAGTGTCCTAGATAAAATTTATTTTCTGACTACTTACGTCGTCTTGCCATAAAACTTCTTTTTGCTCTTTGTGATTAAAAAGTGGGACGTGGCACGGCCACGCACCCGTTAAAATTAACTTAACATTACTCACCAAGTATAATCAGTCATTTATGCGGTCCTTTCAATTTTAAAACTAAGAAACTCTGTGGCTAGGAAAGTTCTTGAGTTACCCACCCTTCTCGAGCGAGTTTACCCAAACTTACCATGTCGCCACACAGTGAATTTGTGTCTTACACAGGTTAAAAACTCCAGTCGTGATTAAATAGGTAAATATACTCACCTAGGTTCCTCATATACATACATAGATAATAGTAACTAAAATCAATAATTTCAACAATTTTAACAATTGCAACAATTTTCAAAGTTTGGTCTGACCAAACTAAATCAAAACAAAAAGTTTAACAAGTTCAATAATCAAACTTGGTTGATTGGTTTAAGTTTTAGCACACAAATACAATCAAGTTTTCTCTCCTTCTCTTCTCTTCTTTGGTCATCTTCACTCCATCACTTCTCCATCCTGATGTTCAGCGTCACTGTCTTCCAGGACTTTCTCTAACATGTCCAGAGAGTTGCGGGCCGTGCCCCAACCCTCCTGTTCCAACAACCTCGGTTTGCAACAAGGTAGCAAGTCAACATTAACCTTTTGCTCCCGGTTCCTGCAAAAGCTGTTGTGAAGACATAGGCTCACGTTTCGTTCTAGGTCAGCTCTCAAGACCTCTTTCTTCTCATCTTCAGTAACACAAGGCGCTCCAGCTACCCGCTTCACCGCTGTGGTGACCGCGTTTCTGTGCGTCAGGAATGCTCGTTTATAGGCTCCTGGTGCTATATCTAGCTGGAAAGATTGATAGGCTTCCGTGTTCCTTGACATGTGACGCTTCGCGCGTTCATACATCCAAGATGTCATCACTGCACGGAACCAGGGCATCAATCTTTGCCTTGACCATATTCTTTCAATGGCTTTAGGTATCCTCAGAACCTTGCAGGTGGTTCTGAAAAGATCCAATTCACGACTCATCTTCACGTTGCTCAGCTGCTCAGGAGTCGGCACGGCCGTCTCCTGCTGACTTGTGTCCGCGTTAGCCTCCAACCATCTCACTGCTAGCATGGCGCTAACCACCACGATTGACACTTGTTGATTCTGATCGGGCAACCCCGTGGAGTAAAACTCCTCCACGTCCCATACTAGCATCAGATTCCCGCGTTTGGGGTACCACAACGTCTGCGCCAAGCAGTGGCAAGGATACTCCCCATGGGTCCTCACTATGTTCCTTCGGGTCCGATACCCTGAGGCTCCCAGCAACGGTTCCACTTCCATCAGGATTCTATGTAAATCGTCTTTCTCTTCTATGGTGGGGAATTCAGTGGGTAACGCTCCACTCGCTTTCTGTTTCTGGAACTCACTCACGTTACCTTCGTTCAGTCTCATGAACTCTTCACCCACAACGTCTTCCAACTCGCCTTCAGATCTTTTCGGGTCTGCCCGAAAGATCTTTGCCAACAAGTCATATGACCTTTCTGACATTCTGGCCAACCTCACGCACTTTGGCACAGAGAAAAGTTGGTCAACCAACACTTGTTGCGTCCTAGCATCCATCACTACCATGTGCGTAGGATACTTGCTATTACAATATGGCGCGGAGCTCGAACCCACCATATATTTTGAACCAGTAGGTCTGTGATAGGCTTCACTATCCTTCAGATTCATTTCGTTTTCTAGAGCTTCTCGCCAGCCTCCAATCTTCTGCTCTGTTTGTAACGCTCCAGGGAATATCTCCACGCTGAGGGACGTCACTAGCTCATGGGCACGCTCTAGGCGCTCAAGCGATTCTATCGAACTCGTCATGCTACAAAATCCCAGGGCTGTGATCAAGTTTACGTCTGTCACCCCATGGCAGTCTGCAACCAACTCCATGGCACTCTTATCTGACATGCTCAATCTTCCGTACAATCGTGCCAGTTGTCGATGCTGCTCGCTCAGCGAAATCAGGCAGTGTCCCAAGTTGCAAACATGCCCTTCCATCCTACTTTGTTGAGCCAAGCATGTGCCTTGCTTCAACCAATCGCTCGATGGACTTTCCTCAGGCAGCTCCGTGGATGGATTGCTCTTCCGCTTCGTCGACTTCATGGCCAGCAGATGGTGCATCATGGCCAGATCATGTAAACTCGCATCATCATCTAGGTCTAACGTAATATCCGCCGTCATGTCCCAGATTAAACCGACATTAGGATGAGGGCACCAAGAAGGCTTCATGAGTTCCCACATCGTCACTAGACTGGTTTTCAAGGGACCGTCCCAAGAACCACAATCAAAACTCACTTGCCCCTTTAGCTCGGGAACCGAGGGTTCGACCACTCGTTCTTCCAAAATAATTCCCAGCTTGGGTTGTTCCACCATCAGCATCCCAGTTTCTTTAATACGTTCGACCCAGAAATTGAGTACCATGACTTGCTCATAGTCGAAGTACGCTTCCCTGGCTTCTTCATTCACGAAGGGATTATACGCCATCCCCGGTATGCCAGACACATATTGGAACGACTTCAGTTTCCCTAGTCTTGTAAACTTTTTTTGTCCTCTGACCGCTTCAATCAACTCTCGGCTCACTTTCAATTCTTTGTTGGAATATCTTCTCACCTCTTCCAACTTGCGATAGCTTTCCATATCATTCGACTCCTTGCTTGGCACGGTCAATGGCATGTCCTGATATAGTTCCAGTAGTGCCCTAAGGAAGTTCCTTTCGCAATCAACTCC